GGGAGCCTAAGGAAATTAGCCACTTATCCAGGCAGTGTAAACACCTTCTCTCCATCTCCCATTGCCACAGAATGGAAATCACATATAACATAGGTATTGCTAGTCCACGAGCTAGCAGAAAACACTCATTTTATTGTGACACCGCCACCACACTTCTGGAGAAAATTACACCAAGGTCCTCATTTGTCTACTAGACCTAAGAGATATTTTACAGCAGGTGCTACAGCTGGGAAACAAAACGTCTGAAAATATCAAATAAATACTATATTTTGTTAAGCTTTTCATTAAAGTATTTCCTAAGAAGAATTAACTACAGGTATACTAAAATTCTAGGAAGAGCAGCAGATCAGAAATTAACCAAACACTTAGCAGTTTTTGAATTAGTGATCTAAACAATTATACTTGAAGTGTTTTTGATGCACCAGGTGTTTTTCTTTTTTTATTTAAAAACTGCAAAATCTAAAAGTGAAGATAACTATTAAACTGGGAAGTCCAGCATTGACAGCAAAGGCCATGCTGTATTCTCATGGGACTTCTGTGGGAGCTGTGGCAGCTAGAATACATACTTAAATTCTCCATTTTTCAATCAGATTAATTAAGGTAGACAATAAATGAATTTCACTGGATTATTCCCACTGGTCAAGAGCACCCATGCATGACAAAATAATTTAGCTTCCAGTAAGATAAAAGAGTCTCTTTTCACTAAACAGGACTCGGCATCTATAACACTGAAGTACTTTTAAGAAATCTGTTAATATTACATAGATTTTTGCTCTCAATACTTTACCTAGTTGCTAGCAATTAGTCAGTATCTTTCTAAAATAGGGGGATAATTCTTTAAATCTACAGAACGACTGGAATTTATGAATGTCTGTAACAGACTTACTACACTACTTCATCCAATCAATATACCTGAATAGTATGCTGTCGTTGTGAAACAGCATCACAGAACAGCAGAAAGATAGCTACCAATCCTTAGTTTTCTATTTTTGTTACTCCACAGTCCTATGCATTGCTGCAAAATACACACAGCAAATTCCTCATTAGGAACATAGGAAACGTGTTAGTTTTCAGCCATCACTATGCTTTTAAAAACAGGTGAAAGACATTATCAACAGTAACTTAACCTTTGCTTCTACCAACTAATACATTTTGCAATTTGATGCACGTGCTTTAATATGAAAATGCATTAAAATGTGCAGAATATTAATAACTCATGCAAAACAGTTGTCAAGTGTTTTTCTTAAATTTTCTGAGACTCTTTTTATGACAAAGTACTTTGAATACTTGCTATTTTTATTTTGCCAGGTATACCCCTAGTATGGTACAAAAGAAAGATTATTTACTTGGGTAACAGATAACCACAACAATTCACTTAGGTTATAATTTCATTTCACTTCATAACTCAATTAAATGTCTTTAATAATTAATTAGAGAATAACAGATACTCAAAGGAGTTTGCAAGAAACCCGAAATGGATGAACCCCTTTGGTTTTTCTGTATCCCTTTTCCTGCCTATGAGTCATAACCTACAGCTGCTAAAAAAGACTCTCTCTCTGACCTGGAGAGCCTCTGCACGCTGCTGACACTTTTGAATTCATAGCATCTTCCCACGGCATCATAAAAACAGCTAGACTTTAAAGCACTAACCTGAACACAAAAGAACTTCAACAAGACTTAAGAAGATTAAACCTTTATTATATTTTTCTGCTATTATCAAGAAAGAGAACTTATCTGTTTTCCACTTGAAAATAGATGCCTGAAAGAAAAACTTGCTTCAGATTGTCTAATAGATAGCTTCAGCTATAAAAGGGAGGCTTAAAGATAAGATTGCAGCTGAAATGTTATCTTTATGCAGAGGATGGTAAAATAAGGGACAACGCTATTGCAAATGCTTATTTATCCACAGTTATTTTGTGGCAGGGAAAACAGTTGAGAAATTGCTGTAAAAGCATTTTAACAACACATTCAAATTCACTGAAAATTATATCCGCATAATAGTTTGCCAGCATAATACAGCAAACCTGAATGTTTTCACTATAGTTCAAACGGGATAGTTTTTCAGGGACTAGTTTTATTAGGGGACATCAGCATTTCTTAGGTTTTTTTCTCTTCCCCACTCTAGTAGCATTTCTGTAACAAGAACCTTTCTCTATCCTTGATGCAACAGAAATGGAAATGTTTCTTTTCTGAGCCTTCCACAAATAACTGCACAGGTTTTTTTTTTTCCCACCGTTACTTAAACTCCATACTGGGCATAAGTCACTTGTTACTCAAGTAGTAACAGGGTTACAGTACTAAGGCAGGACATAGATCTGTTTGAAGTACCTGTCCTGCCACTCTCTCCCTGCTTCCCTTGGTAAAGTCAGCCTCTCTACACTTCAGTTCCTCTCTTAAAAAGTAGGCACAATAGTTCCTAATCTGGTAGCTGTATTTAAAAAATGCAAGCAGGTAGACCAAAAAGAAACCTGAGAAATAACCACAGGAGAAATAGTTTATTTACTATTACTGTATAAAACTACCCTAACTGGCAGAGCAGGAATATCAAAAGCTTTCTACAGGACAGAAAAGAGTTGGATCAAATTCAGCTATTTAAAAGAATTCAACTTCAAAGTGTCAGCTGGAACACTCAAACTTTGCAGTCAGACCAGTAAAACTGTAGTGCTAGCTGTGACAAACACTCTATTCACAGCTCATAAACCCATTAGCAGAAAGGACTAGTGAGAACCTAGATGCTGTGGAAAGAGGAATACAGGACAACCAGAACTGAAGCATCAATTGCAACAGCACACGGGGAAAACAAACCAACCAACCCACCCACCCACCCACAATCAGATTTGCATGGCGCACAGTTTAGCCTTTCTGCTTACAAAAAGAAGTCAGTCTTCTTTGCAGAGAATAGCTACCAGCAAAATTATCATCAACAGTTAGGAACTTCTCTAATGATTTAATTTTTTTTTCTTTCTACAGAGGGAAAGAAAATGCTTTTTAAGAGTAAGAACTGCTTTTGTCCTCTTGGGAAACTTCTGTCCACTTTTCCAAAGACCAAAACCAAGAAGTGTATTCTGTCCATCTGACATATTTTAGGGACAGTTCCTAGTGTAAACTACTTATTTGCTATTTAACCCTATCCAACTAATTCTGTAGGTATGACAGCAGTCACCTCCCTCTTTCCCACTATGCAAGATATAAGCTGGATATTTAAATCTAAAGAGCAAAACGGTATTTCAGATCTAAGAATATACTGTTCCACCTACACATAAAAATGATTATTTTGGAAATCATGATAAATATGCCTGTGTAAGGGAAAAGACAGACTGAAAGGCAAGAGGAAAAGCAAAGGGAAATTAACCTAAGAAAATGCCCTCCTCTGTTGAATGTCACCATTTTTATTTGCATCCCAGTTGTATTAACATAATATCCCAGGGAAAACAGTCGAGAAATTGCTGTAAAAGCATTTTAACAACACATTCAAATTCACTGAAAATTATATCCGCATAATAGTTTGCCAGCATAATACAGCAAACCTGAATGTTTTCACTATAGTTCAAACGGGATAGTTTTTCAGGGACTAGTTTTATTAGGGGACATCAGCATTTCTTAGGTTTTTTTCTCTTCCCCACTCTAGTAGCATTTCTGTAACAAGAACCTTTCTCTATCCTTGATGCAACAGAAATGGAAATGTTTCTTTTCTGAGCCTTCCACAAATAACTGCACAGGTTTTTTTTTTTCCCACCGTTACTTAAACTCCATACTGGGCATAAGTCACTTGTTACTCAAGTAGTAACAGGGTTACAGTACTAAGGCAGGACATAGATCTGTTTGAAGTACCTGTCCTGCCACTCTCTCCCTGCTTCCCTTGGTAAAGTCAGCCTCTCTACACTTCAGTTCCTCTCTTAAAAAGTAGGCACAATAGTTCCTAATCTGGTAGCTGTATTTAAAAAATGCAAGCAGGTAGACCAAAAAGAAACCTGAGAAATAACCACAGGAGAAATAGTTTATTTACTATTACTGTATAAAACTACCCTAACTGGCAGAGCAGGAATATCAAAAGCTTTCTACAGGACAGAAAAGAGTTGGATCAAATTCAGCTATTTAAAAGAATTCAACTTCAAAGTGTCAGCTGGAACACTCAAACTTTGCAGTCAGACCAGTAAAACTGTAGTGCTAGCTGTGACAAACACTCTATTCACAGCTCATAAACCCATTAGCAGAAAGGACTAGTGAGAACCTAGATGCTGTGGAAAGAGGAATACAGGACAACCAGAACTGAAGCATCAATTGCAACAGCACACGGGGAAAACAAACCAACCAACCCACCCACCCACCCACAATCAGATTTGCATGGCGCACAGTTTAGCCTTTCTGCTTACAAAAAGAAGTCAGTCTTCTTTGCAGAGAATAGCTACCAGCAAAATTATCATCAACAGTTAGGAACTTCTCTAATGATTTAATTTTTTTTTCTTTCTACAGAGGGAAAGAAAATGCTTTTTAAGAGTAAGAACTGCTTTTGTCCTCTTGGGAAACTTCTGTCCACTTTTCCAAAGACCAAAACCAAGAAGTGTATTCTGTCCATCTGACATATTTTAGGGACAGTTCCTAGTGTAAACTACTTATTTGCTATTTAACCCTATCCAACTAATTCTGTAGGTATGACAGCAGTCACCTCCCTCTTTCCCACTATGCAAGATATAAGCTGGATATTTAAATCTAAAGAGCAAAACGGTATTTCAGATCTAAGAATATACTGTTCCACCTACACATAAAAATGATTATTTTGGAAATCATGATAAATATGCCTGTGTAAGGGAAAAGACAGACTGAAAAGCAAGAGGAAAAGCAAAGGGAAATTAACCTAAGAAAATGCCCTCCTCTGTTGAATGTCACCATTTTTATTTGCATCCCAGTTGTATTAACATAATATCCCAAAATATTCTGAAGAAGTTGCACAGTATCAGTAAGTATCATTAACTCACAGCCCATAAAAATTGAAATCTTACCTTGCACCATTTTTGAAAAAGAATAGTGAGTCTTTCAGTCTGGCTTTCAGCTCAGCAGGTCTGTTCTTTACTAGACCATATCTCAGACAAAAACCAGAAATAAAACAAACACAACCCTAAAACGGCCCTGCCTACGCCAGAGAGATTCTCAGCATGCGCACATCCCACCCTTCTGTTAGTGGTGAACACCTCTAGGACCTGTAAGACAACTGAAGCTATACTAAGGGTTAAACAAAAACAAACAATAAAAGGCTTGAAGCTAGTACAAAATAAATGTAACAAGCATAATACATTTCATGGACTGATTCTTATCCACTTAGCCATATTTTTTACATAACTTGAAGCGTATATCTTCTTTAAAAAGACACCCAAATAGAATATGCTGATATAAACTAACAGGAAAATGACAGTGATGTACGTTAGTGTGGTCAACGGTCAGGACAAAAAACACATAGGAAGTAAAAAAAAAAAAATTCAAATACCATCATTATTATATAAATGGGTAAATGGTTTCTACAAGCCAAATTTAAGTGTAGAATTGTGCTGAAAATAACAAGGAAAAATACAGCAATACCCAGCCTAAACTCCCACCATCGCTAGGCAGGCTAACATTTTCAAATTCTGATGGTTGACTCCATTCTATTCCTTCCTCCACCAACTTTCAGAAGCTAAAAACATCAGCTTTTCCAAGAAAACAAAGCATTTCCATTGAAACAGAATACTTGCTTCCTCATGAAAATTTCCATTTAGTCAGTTTTTGTGTAAAAATTAGTTCTACCTGTAGTTCCACATCTGAATATGACAGCAGTAACTATTGATTTATTAGTGAAAAATAAGAACTTGTTTTAAAAGAAAAACAGTAATAAACAGAAATAAACATAAAAATGGACAGAAACTTTTCAATGAGCAGAAACAATTCTTTTAAAAGAAATTGTCTACATACAAACTTCAGAGAGAGAAATTTTCATAGAACCATGAAATGATTGCAAAGCAACTGGCAAAGTGGAAAAGACCTTGCTGCAGGGCCACCAAGGACACAGTAAAACAAGAACCCATAGGATGTACAGAACAGCACTCATCTCCTCCTTTGTTTGCCTTTCCAATTGTAAGATGCTGCTAAGAAATAAAAACCTAAATATCTCCCCATCAAATTCAGTATAATTTGATTTGCAGTTGCAAAAAACTACACACACACACAAACGAGTTAGGCTTCTGTTTCATCAATGCCTTTATCTCTTCACGCACGTACAGAAGAAGGAAAATTTCAGTGATCTCTTTATTAGGAATATAACAATATCACAAATTTTTATCCCACAAAGAGAATAACAATTCTTTAAACTAAAGGATAATTTCCTGCCTGTTTCATAGAAAATAAGAGAAAACTTCCAACTTTCACTTAAATTTATCTATGTAACTTTCTGTTTGGAGTTCGATTTTAAAGTGAAATTTAGTATATGTGCGACATAGAAGAAGAACACAAGTGGACAGAAAATGCTATACTTCACATACACAACAGTGAAATCAAGTCCTTCCATCTTGTCTAGGACTATTTTATTTCAGTTATGCCATGTTTTATACAACTACTTTTGTTTTCCTTTCAGATTCCAAAAGAAGAGATTGAATCAACCTAGACATATGCAGGAAGGAGGGGACAGGCCCTAACTGTAACTGCAATTTGGTAACATCTGAGAGCCAGAAAACAAGCAACTTGTCCAATATATTAGTCTCAAAAATGTTTCTTCTAATCCATCTGTATTTATAAAGCATAGTGTCTAGGTCACAGGTAAAAAAATCTCGGTGCACACAGAATGAAAAGTAACAACTGCCAAACAATCTGTGCAATTTTTTTAAATTGCTATCATCTTTAGAAGAATATAAAAGTGAGAGTACAGGCAATTCAAATAAACAGTCATCAATACAGTACATAGGTACACATGCATAATTTGGCCACTGTATTTAATTTTTGCTAAATGCATTTTGCAGAACTGACAAGTACTCCACCACTCTGAATACAGGACACTTGATCAAGTGACTCACTTTACAAGAGCAAATAACCAAAACATGAGCGGGACTGTGCCAAAGCACAAGACCTGGAATATGTGAATCTTGATGAAGAACCTTGACAGAGTGTAGATGGAGCATTAAGAAAGTTAAAATGCCTCAGCAGTGTGCAGTCACATTAAAAGCCCCACACCAGTTGCAGCCACTTGAGTTCCCGTTGAGAAGCTAAATCACAGATCTTAGACAGCATGTACATGAGTTTAGAGACTTGTTATCCTGAGTCAACCGAGCAACCTCAGCACTGCTCAGTTGCAGGACTTGGTGCAAGATGAGCCCAGATAATGAGATCAGGATATCAACAGAGACCTAACAAAATATACTTTTGCAAAAAACGACTCTGGAGTCAAAGAAATCTTTAGAAGAGCTACGACACACAGAAACAGGAACTTAAAATGGAAATTCAGTTTGGTCTCTAAGATGGCATGGACATTTTGTAAAAACAAAAGAAAATGATATTCAGCATTCAGTCAGTATTGATGTAGATCCGGAAAAAACTCCATGGGAATCTTTTTAGTTTTAGCAACTCTCTCAATAAACAATTCTATTTTAAAAAAGAGGGGAGAGGGACGAAATAAAAAGTAAGTACTCTTTTAAAATGATGTTATTTTGTTTCCTGAGGTAAAGAAAAAAAACTATAGCTATTTTTGCATTTCAGTATATAAATAAAGGAACTATCATCTATATCTTCTCATCCCATTTTTTTCAGAATTCCTTTCTACTCACTAGGAAGGTTTTCCCAAACAGTATAGATTCCCCATAACAACACACAGCATGAAACCTTGGTGTGACCTTGCACTTACATAAACAGTGTCACATATCATAATGCCATATGCTTTTCTTAATAGGTTTAAGAATAGTGAGCTGATTAACAAGTAAAAACATCGCTGAAACTGCTGGATGATCAGGCGACATGAAGAAAAGACAAGATAGTATCTAAAGAGAGAAAACACAAAGGAAACAGCAGGAAAGTAGGTTCTGGGGAAAAAAGGCAAAAAGTAGGATTCCTAATTCTGAAAAGCACAAATCTTTGTCACTTGAGTAGGTCATCTCACGTTCCCATGCCTCAGGTTCTCTGTTTGTGAATTAAGACAGCGCTTTGCTAATTCACTATAACGCTGCAAAATTTAATAAACTTGTAATGCATTTCTGAAGTGCTTTGAGCCCTTTAAACCATATATCAGATTCTGCTTCATTACATAATATACTTTTCAATAAACACGTTTTACGGTATTTTTTCAAATGCATTAAAGAAAAAAATAAAAGACACTAATAGATTAATACTTCATACCAACAGTAGCTTTCTAAAACTGCTCCTAATCTATCTACCAACATCCCTCCTACAGTGATTGCCACAAGAAGTTGGTGGCAACAGACAGACCCTCACTGTTGTTCTAATGGGTTTCCAGTACCTTCTCACAATCCTATAACTGCACAGAAGTACAGACACCTTCTGTAGCCATACACTGGTAAACACAGACACTCTCGTTACCTTCCAGAATATCAAAAACCACAGGACTAACTTCAGAGGTTCTAGCCATACAAGCGTTATTCACCCATACAAATGTTTTTCCTCAACACAAGATGAGGTTTGCTCTGTAGCTAACTCTACGCAGTCTAACGTTCAGACGTAGGTCCTAGTTATTGAAGTATAATCTGAGATGAAAAGATTCTCTAAGCACCCATTTAAAAAAAAAAGACTACAGTCATCTAAGAACATAATTTAAAAATAGAACAGTTGCTGTACTTTATCAATCGGTACTCTGTGTTTGAAAGTCACAACTTATGGATGCTTGCAAAAATGAATCATAGCACTCGTACTTTCCTCAATACATTTCTCCAATTTCTGGTAATCTGCAGCATAAAGTTACGTTTGCATTTTGTTGTTTAATTTCACTTTCGGCTTAGCTATATCTACGAAAAAACTGTTACTTATTTGACTAGTAATAATTTATATAAGCTAGGAGCACAACTTGTGCATGACTGTCAATGTCTCAAATGTATCTGCATTGATGTACACCGCAGAAACACTCTACCTGGAGTAATTCAACCAATGACATCAGCAAGTCAGCAATAAGTGAAACTGTATCTTGGACGGACAGGAAATAATTTTACTGAACTTTGACACAGTCCTCTCATATCAATTCAAACAAGTTCACATTTCAGAGCTCCTCTACGCTTTACCTTGCACAGCTCAGTGGGACAGACAAATTACACCAACACTTATTAACTTTCAGTTCCGCAAGCAGGGTCAAAATAGTTTCCTGCTTACATACTGTTATGGTCAAGACATGCCAGTATTGCTATTCCTCAGAGATGCCATACATGACAGTGTTTGGCAAGAATGCTCATGTGAGGGTAAAAAGAAGCAATCTCTCTGTCTACCTTTCCCCATCTCAGCTCTCAAAGCTGTAGATCACGACAAAGCATAACAAGTTCAACAGCACTAAAATCAGCGAAATATAACCTATTAGTATGATGAAAAACAACATTCTTCACGGGATTGTCACTTATACACTGTTCCAGTTGTTTTACTTTCATGGAAATTACTAATAATTTGTCACAATGTATAACCACTACCAGTTTCTGGGTAGCATGCTTAAAGAAAACAGTGTACCTGCCTTAGTTGCAGAAATAAACATCTTCACTGTATTACTGGTCCATCCTTTTATTAAAATTCACTTTATTAAATTCAATATTAAAATACATTTTAAATTATGAGAAACAAGCTCAGGGTAAGAAAGGAAGGTGTTCTCACCCTAGGAACCATTTTAATAAAGCTGAGAGTAGACATTGTCCTTGTCATCTGCTCTCCATCACTCACGTAAAAGAGCTATTGACTCTCCCAACTCACAGTTAGTCACTTTGGGTCTGGCGTTGTTTGCTTGTTTTGGGGAGAGAAGGAAGAAATCGATTAGGGTTGCTTTAGATCTGTTGTTTGGTGAAAAGTTCTCCGACTCTATCAACAAACCAGGCCCAACATCTGCTCTATAAAAA